AAAAAACATACTGTCTGTGTTCCGTAACCAGCTGTGTCAGCGCGAATCATCAACAAAGGCCGACACGAACTTCTGCGTTCGCTCCAGTTGCGACAGTTTATGTAAATGGCCTGCAAGAAGTACAAAAGCTGTAGGCGGCGCACTTGCGATTGTTTGGAAACTACCTGGCTGCTTTCGGGCAACTCCCGTACGAAGCCCGTCAAAGGCCAGTGGAGCGTTGCAAAAACGTTGCAGCATTGCGGCGCAAAAATGAGGTCACGAAGAGCGCCGGTGGGTGTTTCTTGATTCCGACAGCCATTTACATAAACTGTGCAACGGGAGCGAACGCAAGAATTTCGTTCGGCTTTGTGTGATTTCGCGTGACACAGCTCGGTTACGAACACAGACGGTATGGTTTTATAACAAGTGAACACTGTTCTTCAAATAGAAACAAAGATGGAGTAGAATGGTTGAATATTTGTATGAAATCGTATGAAATCAAGCAAGCGTCGAGCGAATTTTTGGCAGCACGCTTTCCTACCTGCTATATATTTACGCTGTGGCTATATGCCCGGCAGCCGGACACGGTCTTCGATTCCCTAAATGCCCGGCAGTTCCTAACCCTAACCCTAACCCTTGTTTACTTGAGATAACGCTGAAAATTAAAAACTGCTGGGCATTTAGGAAATCGAAGACCGTGCCCGGCAGCCGTCAGATATATGCCGGCTGCCGGGCATATAGCCACTCTGATATATTTATGTGTCAGTGTGCAGCGGAAGTCATGGCGGCAGCCAGCGTTTGTTGCAGATGAGCATTTGGACGGCATTTACAGGAAATTGTCGGCAATAATAGGTGAAAGAGAATATAGAAACATTAAGACTGGTAGTAAATAGATTTCTTATTTATTTAGCATTATATTTTATTGAAACGCTCCAAGTGCCTGTGCTAATGCCCGACGTACACGTGAGTAATTTTACTCAAGTAAAATGATGCATGCGTCAAAATACTCAACGAAAATCCGCCGCATACGTGAGTATTTTGCCGCATGCATCATTTTACTTGAGTAAAATTACTCACGTGTGCACCGGGCTTAACGCATAGCTACTGCTACTAGTACTAGTACTAAGCTAATAATGGGCATCGATTATCTATAGATAGTAGTCGGCACTTTTATTCCCATTGAAATGTTAACAAGTGTTAATACGTAATCTGATAACATAACACATTTATTGTTTGCTACAGAGTAAGAGTCCTGTGCTGAAATTGCGTTTACAAAAGCCAAAGAGTAACAAGAAAGTCGACTGGACCACCGATACCGTCGACAACGAACATATGGGAAAGAAGAGTTCAAAATGTACATATATGTCTTCACGTACCTGGTCACTATTCTATTTTTGCACGCAAAATATTTTGCCGTCTGAAAACCATTTTAGCTCTACCGATGTAGGCCCTTCGCTCCCGCTACATGAGCGAAGGGACTACTTCGGTATAGCTACTATTTAGTTTACCAGCTACCCATTCATACACACAATCGAAAGACGTCTGGGTTAAATTTAAAAATCCAAAATTGTTTATTTCTACTGAACACAATGAATTATCGCGAAGTATAATGTACCAGAAAGGAGGGCGAAGTGACTGTACAGTTACCAAGTTAGGTGCAACCAAAAGAAATCTTGTGAATGTAATGCTTGATGCAATCGTTCTCATTCAGGTTGCTGCATTTATGAGAAGCCGCATGGATTTGGGGAGAGCTCGTCTGAAGACGATGATGATGAGTGCGGACATTGCAGAGGTCACAAGAAGAAGTGTCACAAGAATCCGGTGACAGACGGCGATGCGTCACAGCAGCCCGAGTCCAATCCTGGTATCGTGCAGGAGAGCTAGAATTGGCGTCTGAAAAGTGCGGGACGAATCGAGCAGAGCAGTCATTAGCGCTATCGTATGCTACGCTTGCAGTGATTTTGTGATATCCAATGCCCACTTTTTCCAATGAAGCCAAACAGTAGATAGGGTAGGCATAGACACTAGCTAAAGTGCATTTTCTATATTATAGTTTCACAAAGTCACCATTTGGATAATCACTATCTTAGGGCATCGCAATACGGATGTATGAGGATTTAATTGTGTAAATATGCATCGAGCTATTTTATTTTGCGCGATGTAGGTGTAAATATGTGAAGGACACTGGGTGCTGTAATGCATGTCAATGCAAGGGTGGATTGATCAGGGGGTTTGAGGTCTTGCATCTAAGTACTTGGCAAGCATAGATCTCTGAATGCCCTTGGCCTTATCCACTCAATACATCTTTGCCTTATCATACCAGATTGGTAATACAATAAATTCACCAAAAGGCTTCGCAAAATTGGGAATAATAATACATATATGCAGTGCTTAGTAGTTATCATTCATGATTGCATAGTAGGTTTCCATCAATTACCAGTCAAAAACTGTATGTCACATAAGCCAATGAGTGTCAAATATATCAATTTAATGTTGTCACAGAATTCTTACTGTATTTTGCTGATGTCTTGCAACATACAGGCAAGAGTTATCTTATTTATTAATATCGCGTATAGTATATATGGAATATAAATATTGATTCCTGCCAATCAATCATATGTATGCATATTTATGTATATGTAATGCTAGTAAACTAACAACATCACCAATTAGAAATATTTTACAGTTTTATTTTCCATGTTTGGAACATTCCTTACAACACAGGTGCAGAGCTAAACCCGTTTTAGCAGGTACACCGGTATCAAACCATGCTGATTGTTCAAACAGCTTACCATCCCAGCGCTTACATATCTAGTGTGGTGTTAACAGTACCAGTAACCTTTTATACATCCTTAAAATTGTAAATGCAAAAATAGTGCATTGACTGACAACTTGTTAAATCATCAAGGATACAGGCACTTGGTACAGTATAAAAGATTGTAATGTGGGGTAAAAAAGATTTGTTCTGTCTACCGCTCTGGTTGGCCTAGCAATACGAGACGGGCAATAACCACGTTAATAAATACACACTCCAATAAATCGGACAATACACTCGACAAAATATAATCAACGCATCGAACATACAGAAACCGTGTGGGTGACTTCCAACCGTGTAAGCTTGCTCTGCCAATTTAGAAAATGAACGCTTGCAACAGAGATCCCTATTGTGAAATATATCCGTAGAGTTTACTGGAGTCCACATTGCATTAAATGCACAGACTCACCACAATTCATCACCTACAAACACAACTGCAGGTATTCAACAGATTTTCTGGCAATCAACAGTCTATAAGCTATGATGAGCACAGTTTTACGGTACCAGAATTTAGTATTGCAGGTAACTAGATAGACTGATGGTTCAGAAAACTGACAGTGCCAGAAAATCGGTAGGCAACATGTAGAAGATTTCACCAAGCACGCGTTTCGCAACCATACTTGGGTGTAAGTGCGCTAAGTTCGACAATGTTCGATTCACGGCGGGCGCGTGAAGTTTCCCCTTGGCGATGAACTCCCATTGAGAACTCTCGACTTCGCTCGATGTCGGAAGCGGTGTGTTCCGTGAATCTATTTTAAGATTTTAGATTGTTGGCAGTGCGGTCGTTAAGACAGCGGCGCCGGCCTCCTGTGGTGTGAGTGTTCATTTCGTGGCCTGCTGCGTTGCTCCTTCCTTTGGCTGTTCCTTCTTTGCCTTCCCTTCAGCTTTGAGTTTTGCCTGAGCAATAAAGTAGACAAGCTGGCAAATTATACAGGACACATGATGGTAACATCATGACATTATGAAATCACCTTTTACTATACAGCCACTAGAATTAAAATGTAATTGCCATCTATGAAGTTTTCACAATCATGTCATCAAAGGGGAAACTGCTGATGCCAGCCAATGCTTCCCTCGAAAGCTTCTTTAGTTATGGCGAGCTAGATATTTATGCCCACATTTATTCTTGCATTACATCTATTTGGACACCAGCCAGGCAGGCACGTATCACAACTGCTAAACAAAGGCCATCAATTCATCTCACGAACCCACGCACGAATGCATGCACATGCTACTCCACCATTACGCAAGCCTCACCTTCTCGTATAAATTTACCAGCTGGCCATCTGCAGCCAGCACCTTTAGCAACTCGATTATAAAAGGCAGGTAGTTGTGCTTCCTTCTTATATTCTCTATCTGCATGACGATAATAAAAATATAAACAGTAGGCATTAGAATGCATTTAAAAACAGATTTATCTCTGCACCTAACAAAGACATTACACTCAAAATTTTGAAGAAATTTTCAAAGAGTCGTCAATGAAATATAACCGAGCATTTTTAAATGACAGAAGATACCTTATACTGCTGCATTTTTTCCTCCTCTTGTTTGATTAGCATGGAAAGTTCATTGATTTCTGTTAAAGCTCCACTTGTTTCCATGCCACTCTCCTACAACAAATGGCAACAGTGTCAAGAAGCACCACACTTACACAGTACAAAACAACAACATGGCTAAAGAATTGGTTTAATCTCAGCACCAATAAATTGCAACTCTACACTACACAAAATCATTTTGTGCTCCTCTTACAAAACGAATAATAATACAAAAAACACAGTCTGCCACTAAGGAGATGAGTGACCAATTATTATACACTCGCACAAACAGCTACTCAGTGAAACAAACAAGCTTTATTATAGCTAGTGTTGTCAATCGGTTGTAATTTCGTAATCGATCATCGGTTGGACCCAAGTAACCGATGATCGGTTACAATCGGTTACTCGGGGTGTTGAATGCTTGCGTGTGCGTAACGTGGTGTGCATGTACGTGTGTGCATGTATGTGCTTGTTTAGCCCTGTTTACTGTTTGTTTTGCACTGTTTACTACTGTGTGTATAATACATGTATGTTAAGAAAGGATAACTTGTATAGTATCACTTTTTCAATTTTTTATTTTTTTTGGATGAAATTGATTATGGATTTTGATAACCAAACGCTTGGTTCGAGCCACTGTTCAACCGATGATCGAGTATAATCGATGATCGTGACATCACTAATTATAGCACAACGGGCACAGAAGCCAAACAGCGAACAAAGATGGAGAGAGGAACCCGTGACCCATGAGCGCCATCTACCGGGCTACATCGGTAGCATGCAAACGTAAGCTAACTAGACACTGCCGCAGCGAAAAAAATACACGGGAGCGGCGAGCGATTTCGCTCCCGTCAGCTTTCAAAGCGCTCTAGGTACAACGAGAAAATTCACAGAGAGTGCTGAACAAACTTTTAGATAACGAGGAAAAAGAACTCTAGGGATCGAGCGGCTATTAACAGGCTGCCCGTGCGGCAAGCCGCGAGGTTGTTAAAGACTTAGTATCCGAGTTTTTCCGACCCCTGGTCCGGAAGGCCCCAAAGCCCCACCTAAAGTTTTTGCTCGGCCACCATCTCTACGAAACTCCATCTCAAGAATGCGATTGGTTCTTAGTCGAGAGTGAAATGAGAATTTAAAAAAAAATCTGATCGAATGTATTTGTGACAGATTCTTGAACCCGTAGCTACCTGATACACTAGAGTGCTTGTGTAGTTGTGAATGCTGATGAAGCGTTATTATTAGAGGTCAGTGCATCAAAGCCTTATTATGAAAATTTACACAAAATCATCGCTTAATGCGGAAAGGTAGGCCTGGGCACCTAAAGCCTAAAATAGCTCCCCATGTCAAAAAAAATTACGAAGAGCCTCTTTTTTTCATAGGCAAAATCAAAAAAGAAGGCTCTCCGTAAAAACAAAAGTATTATTAGGCCTGCACTGCAGTGCTGGCAGTCGCACATTGCTCGGAAACGGTTCATGTCTACGCCGTGACAACGTTGCGCGTAACGCGTATGAGGGGGGGGGGGGGCGACCGCTTCTGATCAAGCTTCAGGCGCTAACGTCGCGCTTCGTGTACGTCTGCTTGCGATCAGAGACGATGGCCATCAGGTTGAAGTGTATCTCGTCCGCGCTGTAGCGCTGACTTACGCGTCGTGGCACAATTGTGAACGCGAGACGCGCCACGTCGAGCCAATCCTTGTCCTTAGCAACAGCACCTAAATGCAACATCAGCGTCGCGAGCATACGAAAAACAATGTTTATCAAAAGGCCAAACACCACTAGAAAAGCAGCCCCAATAATTTACACGATCACATTTATGCAAAATGATAGATTTAAGAAAACAATGAACTAAATCTCAGCGTTTTCAATAGAAATGGATAAAGAGGAGAAGCAGAAAATAGAGGAAAAATAGAGAACACTGCAAGTCAACATAGTCCTGGTATTGATATTTAGAGCGAGTGTTATTGTGGGTTTTCTCTTACACTAAACTCTGGAGCAGTGAGCCCTCCACTTGTTAGTTTTGATATCATAGCCAATATAGTTTTGACGATATCATAATATGTTCTAACTGTCTTCTCCTTGTTGCACCAAATTTCACAACAAAGGTTTTCATACAATACAGTTCTGCGATGTCATACTGACTTATGATCTTTCTGACAATGAGCCCAGGGCTGGTTTCCTACGCGAATACAAGTGTGACACTACTACATGTACTATATCTTGGTCAGGTGGCGGTTACCACGCGATACCTAGATCGACTGGTCCTTCCTTGAGGCCATCTAACTCATATAGCCTTCCATCGATCGGCAAGTAGGCGACAAAGTGGAAGACGTCATCGTCCTTCTGCGGCTGACTACTGTCAAACTCAAACATGTTCTGCCTGGAGAAGCTGTTGTGCACTTTTCGAATCTCGTGCATGTTACTCAGACTGAGACCGCGCATCTAGAACAAAAACAGACGACATGTCCTGTTACGTGTATGCAGGGTTTCTTCTGAGGAAAAACTAGGCAAATGAGGTAATGGCCAGTTTGGGAAAAAACGAGCATGATGGATTTAAAGACGTGCCGTAAGCACGCATGCGGACGCTGCAGGTGGACTCGGGGGGAGAGAAGGAGAGGGGAAGCCCCCCTCTCACTGGGGGGAGGGGTTCTGGGGGTCTCTCCCATCAAAATCTTAAAAATGTGAATGTTAAAAATTGTTACCGGAGCATTTTCACAATGGCGATGTTAAATTTGACAACGGCGGTGCGCCACTGTACCTCTTATGTAGAAGAAACGCTGGTCCTGTAACGTGTATGTTTTAAATCATACGGAGACGAGCCTGATTGTCATTCCGCAGAAGTGCATAGCTTTCCCTCCTCACATTCAAAAATGTTACCATATATATTGTACGACCGAGAGAACTGATTTCGACAAGTTCAAAATACGATTAGCATTAAGATTAAGATTAATAACGATTAGATTAATAAAGATAATAAATTATGATTAATAGACGAATAAGATTAGTTGTTAGAACAGACAGGAGATTGTGATACTTACAGATGCGTCCAGACCATGTGTAAATTCCTTGAACTGTGTCAGTGATTCACCCAGCTCCAAATCGCCATGACAACAATTTAACAATATGCTGAGAATGGCTTGTGTTGCGCAGGCATTCTGGATTACCTAAATGAATAAAAATAAACAACGCCCATTGAAATTATCTACCAGTCACAGATCGAATGAATAATTAGTAATTACATTCACAGCCTCTTTGCAAGAAGATGTTGTGGGCCAAAGAAAAACCTGTGCTCGCTATGCAGTCAATTGCTAGCAGCAAGTTCTAGCTTACACACCTGTTTTGCAAAGAAAATCTTCTCCAGCCTACTGTCCTGCACAATGGATCCCGACGGTTCGTCATCGGATTTCCATTTGAATAAGAATATCAAACCGTGGACGGGTCTAGAATTAAAGAATAGGAATAAGTCAGATAAGGGTATAATGTAAGAATAAGTCAGATAAGGGAGATTAATGCAATAGAAATCGTCTCTCACGGCCAGAGACAGACCACATAATCACATACCTACTATACGTTTGCAGCAAGGAATGACAAGTATTTAAATGGCAGTGGATATTTAAAGTGATTACGTCTCCATAAATAGTAAAAAATAGAAAAAATATTTCCACTTTTTCACAAAATATAAGTAATTCTGTTCACTTTTTATGGTTAAATTGCTGCGTTATACTTCTCATTTTACTATATTGTTCGATGTGAACATACACTCGTGTCGCATACATAGCCCATAGCAAGCAATTAATGTC